AGATTTGGGCTTGCTAGAAATCTTTTTTATAGCTTTAGCGATTTTAGTCTGATTGTTATAATGATCTTCTAATTGCTTGCGTATATCTTCTACAGGGTCGTTATTGGTAATTCCAACTTTCTTTATCACCAGTTTTGGGTGTAAATCAGGCTTAGAAACAGGAACAAATCCTGGAATCTCCTCTGTAAGCCATTGTATAAATCTACCCATATTCGTATCATGTATAATTTGAGAGATTCCTAGAGGTTGTGGCCTATAGTCAGATTGTGATGATTGAGAAGAAATAGGTTGAGTTTGTATAGATGGCATTATAGATTTTATTAAGTTTTCGATTTCAGCTTTGGTCATAACCATATTGCTTGAATAATTGTCTTTTCTATGAGATTTATCCAATGATGCTGGACCCGAATATAAATAAGCTCCAGATAATTGCTCTGTCTTATATTTTTCAATTTCTTCAAGTTCTGTGAGCAATTCAGATACGGGCCTGTTAATTCTGATATGTTGAATTTCTAATTGATTATCAGGAGAAATTCCACGAATAAATTGTAATCGAATTTGTTGTTCATCAATACCAGCTAGCCTAGCAAGTTTACGTAACTTAGAATAGAATCAACCTACAGAATTACTGCCTTGTACCGTTAAACCAAAGAGCATTCGCTGTTTTTCTGCAGTGACTATGTGATAGTTAGTTTTACGCCAGTATATTGCCTGGCCAAGTTGGATTCCATCTGCTACTATAAATTGTCTGGCATTAGCATTTGGTGCATTGGATAATCAATCTGTTGGGTGCCCATCAGCAAAAGACCAATCTTCATCAAATACTGTATACGCAGAAATAACAATATTTCTAGCCTGGCCTACAGCACCGTGTCTTAAATTTGCATCAAGTTGTACTGCCGTTCGTCCTTGAGCCAGAGCTAAAGTGGCCTGCCCGGTATTATCTAATAAATTTCTTAATTCCCAATTCCTTTGACGAAAAGATCTTTCATACCAGTCTTTAGCATCGGCTTTGAGACATGTTTCAAAAAGACCATGCGCTCGAACTCTGTGAGTATGTCTGGCTAATACATTAATTTCTACGGCCACAAGATATGAGCAAAAAGAATCAATAAATTCTTTGGGATCCTCATCTGGATATATTATTATCTGGGTTACACGCATTATGCAATTCTATAATTAGATTTTAAATAAATTTCATGCATCACTAATCACGCCATCAACGTTACCCAGTCACGATCGGGTGACCCGTGATCGTACCTAACCCTAGCAATACCGATACAAGGGGTGTTGGTCATCAGCACGACAGGAGCTAGATCTCCAGGTACTTCATCCTCGAAGTTACTTCAACTCATATCCATCCCACCAAGTTTCCTCACTTCAAAACGACTACCAAATACTGCACTAACTAGTCCATCATTCCCAATCACATGGTCTAAATATAGTTATTTGAAAAATCTCATCCTTCCAAATAATATCGGGCTACTATTAAACCTTTGAATTTCGTTTTCACCAACAACACATGACATGTCCAGCTTCTTTGGATTACTACCATCTTCATCAAGACTTTTCATCACTTTAACTTTCGCATTGTCAATTCGCAATGCACTTTCACCTAAATCCGCATACTCATTATTTCTGACTTTTCTACTCGTTTTTCGCTTTATCATCTGCAGCTTTACCCTATTATTAACAACATTTCTATTCACACTTCGGATATCGGGTATATATTCTTTTTTCTTTCTTCTAGTTTTCTCCTTCACCACACACTTCTTACTAGGTATATCCTCCACTGGAATTTCATATAAATTATCGAACGGATCTTCCAACCCAACAACTCGTGCAATCTCAAATTGCTTTTCCAATGATAATCTTCTCATATTCACCAGTTGACCTATACCTTTACCGTTCCAATGCTCTTTCCCATTTACAATTTGCTAAAATACAACACCATTGAATCCATCAATCCCAATATCTCCTTTCGAAGGTGATCTCATCACTTGTTCTTTCATAGTACATTTTAATTCATTATCATCCTTTTCTGACATTTTCATTACATGTCGTACATAATACTCATCGATTTTATCATCTCTTGAATCACCACTACGGGTTTGTTGTGGACAAAAACGAGCAATATGGCCTACCTTTCGACATTCATAACATAGGCGTGATCTCATATTTTTCCATTGTTTAAATCTCACCTTCTTTAAATTTTTCACAACCTCCTTCGTAACCATTTCTACAATTATTTCAATTAATGACATCAAACTATTCTCATTCTCCATTTTCATCTCAACTTCACAAAAGGTTTTCTCTTAATACCAATGTCCACAAAGAGCTTAACCTTAATGTTCAGCAATCAAATCACACAGTTCAACGAGGGTATTGCTTCTTGTCCAGGTCCTTTATGTTACAGAGAATGGCAGTTATATGGGGTCTTCATTCCCTTTTACTTAGAATTTCCCTTGGCTTTCCTATTCCACTCACTTGGCTTTCACACAGGCTAGAGTATCGTTCCAGGTACTACCACCAATAGACTACTATGTCAACCACACAGTTTTTCCTTTAGAACTTTTTTCACTAAGCTAAAACTTATTTTTATTATTAGAGATTGCTAAATTTAAATACAAGATTATCTCCAGATATATTATTACCCAGGTTATACGCATTATGCAATTCTACAATTAGACTTTAAATTAATTTCATGCAATACTGATC